GTCAAGGGATCAATTTCAACTGGTATTGTTTATAGCAGAGGGCAGAATCAAATTAATTTCATTGTAGGGTGTGTTGATGCAACTATGCAAGGAATTTAGACAATATGAAATCTATGATTGGTTTTGTTTTCTCTTTGTGGGATAACTTGGTCTGTTGGAAAGCAAATTTGCAAGCTATTGTGACTTTATCAACTACCGAAGCAGAATATGTTGCAATTACAAAGGTAGCAAAAGAATAAAGCTGGCTTAGGGGAATGCTTAGTGAAATGGGATTCAATCAGCAGCAAGTTCCAATCAAGAGTGATAGCTAGAGTGCTATCTTTTTATGTAAGAACGAAGTCTTTCGCGAAAGATCAAAACACATTGATGTAAGGCTACATTTCATCAGGAATATGGTAGAAGACAAAGTCATTAAGGTGGAGAAAATTCCAAGAAAGGAGAACCTAGCAAACATGTTTACGAAAGTTGTCACTTTGGACAAGCTAAGGCTCTTCAAGAGCCTACTGCACATTGAACAGAGTTGAAGTTATGTTCCAGGGTAGTGAGGAATGGCAAAAGTAGATGCCAAGATGGAGATTTGTGGTGATGTAGCATCTGTTTTGTGCCTACATGGAAGTCAGCCTTGAATATGTTTGGTCAAGGCCATTTTTTAGAAAGGCTGGGACTTTTCTGGGATTTCCCAATTGGGATATTTGTTAGATCTAATTGCTTCTCCCCATTTTTTGTTCTTTCACAATTATTCCCTCTTGGTTACAGAGAGAGAAAGGTTGTTACAAAAATGGTTGAGTTGGAGCTTTGAAGATATCTGGATGGAATCAAACGGTGATGGTGAGTCTAGTTTGTTATTCCTTTTTTCCTTTCTTTGTGTATAAATGGTTGTTGATGTTTTGGCTTTTTAATGTATGAGATTTGAAGAACATATAGGTTATTTCTCGTGTATTACAGAGGGGGTTTCTTAGGGATCTTCATGCGAAGAGAGAGCTATAAACTCTGTAAGGTTTTCTTTCTCCATAGTGAATTTTTCGCTACTGCCCTGAAGAGTAGATGTAGGTAATCAATTGATTACCGAACCACCATAATTTTGTGTGTGTTCTTTACTTTCTCTATTTTTCTCTTTGTGCTCTTTTGATTATTCATAATTCATTGTTTATGTTCTTGATAAACTAGAAACCTAGGAATCTGATTTACTCTAATTCGATTAGTCTTGAGTCCTACAACTTGCTTGGGGATTTAGCAATTCAGTTGTAGATTCAATTTTATTTTATTAAGCTTCATCAGAATAAAAATAATCAATTCTCCTTAAAGACTCTGGGAGGTCTTAATTACTTTTTGAGTATAAAGCATTGGCTTAAGCTACTGCTGAAGTGTAATGACTTCTTTAATTACTTAAAGAGCTTAATGTTAAGTTGATCTCTACAACACTTATACTCTGGTGTGATCATGTTAGTGTTGTGGCTATGGCTTCAAATCTTGTGCAACATGCTCGTATAGAGCATATTGAAGTTGGTATACATTTTATCAGAGAAAAGATTGCAAGCAAGGAGTAAGAAGTTCAATTTCTGTCTTCAGTCATCAATTAGCTGATGTTTTTACTAAACCCTTATTAGTTACACAATTTGAAGTTTTCTTTTGTTGACGTCAAAGGAGCATTGACTGTGTTGTCTGGTGCTAAAGATAACTGAGTGTCTAGAATGGGAACTAATGTAAGAGGAGTCTCTACGTTGTTTTGGATCATATAAAAGGTACCCCTGCTTCAGCATTGGATATCCCATAAAGATGCATTTGGTGGCCCTTGGATCAAATTGTTCATGTGGACCGATTGTGGTGGAATAGCAACGACATCCAAAAACCAGCAAGTGGGAGTTGTCAGGTTTTCTCCCAAAAAGTAGCTCATAAGGTGTTTTTACTCCAAGGACCTATGTAGGCATACGATTGCTAACTAAGTAGCAGTAATCACACAATCTCCCCAAAAGGTTATGGGTATATAGGCTTGGTGTTTAAGGGCTCGGGCTACTTCTAGGAGGTGACAATGTTTACGTTCTACAACTACATTTTGTTGTGGAGTGTAGGTGCAGGAGCTCTCCTAAAGAATCCCATTGGTAAGAAATAGAAAGGAACACTGATGATTGAAAAAATCTAAGGCATTATAATTACGGACTCGTTGAACCCTTTTGTGAAATTGGGTTTGAACCATGGATAAAAAATTTTGAATATAGGAAAAGGATTGAGATTTTGAGTGCATAAGAAATACCCAGGTTCCCCGAGAGAAGTCATCAACTATTGTGAGGAAATACCTTGATCCATCATGATTAGGAATATGATGGGGTCCCCAAATATCAATGTAAATCAAGGTGAATGGGGTGTTTGTGGAGGAAGTGCTAATAAGGAATTTGACCCTAGCTTGCTTTGCAAAAGGGCAAATTGGACAATTAGGAATAGGGATGGAGGCACTGTGACCCAATCTTTGATGAAAAATAAAGGAGTTTGTATTAATATTTGTATTACAAAGGTATTGTTTATGTTGTGTAATACAAGGAATAAACTCCTTATTTTTTATAGGAAAATCAAAAAAGGGCTCCAAGTAGTATAGGCCATGATGAGCTTTACCCAGGCCTATCAGTCTCCCAATCGAAGGGTTCTGAAAGAGGCACATATTAGGAAGGAACTGCAATGTGCAATTATTATCGACACATAGTTTAGATACCGAAATGAGGTTAAAGTTGAAGGTAGGGACTAGAAAGACATTTTTAAGGATCAATTTTTCTCCTAGGAGGATAGTAACGACACGTGTGGTTGGGGTATTATTACCATTTGGCATGCAGACAGATATTGGAAATTTAGGTTATGTGTGTGTAGTGAAAAACCTATGGTGGTAGACAATGTGATCACTGGCACCAGAGTCAATTATCCAAACATCTTTTGAAATTGAATTATTAAAGACAAATGATATACCTGCATAAGTAGTGGAAGAATTCATGGATTGGGATTCATTCAGCATCTGGAGTAGTTGGGTGATTTGTTCAGGACTGATCAGTGGCATCGTGGTGTCATTTCCTTGATTTGTTGTCACATTATTTGCCGTTGAATTTCTAGATTTGTCCTTAGGGCGGCCATGTAATTTCCAACGATTCTCAAGGTTGTGATTGCGCCGCTTGCAATATTCACAATATAGCTTGTTTTTACCTAATCTGCCTGATCCAGAGTCGTTGGATGTGTCTTGAAACTACCCATATTTAGAACTGTTGGATGAGAATAACTGGTTGATCTATTGTGGAGCGTTGGATGGTTTGACTTGATTTGAGCCGTTGATGGAATTATATAAATTCCCATTGTTCTCATTTCCAAGGAACCCTAGCCGCCTTTGTTCCCCTTTATTTTTCTCACCTTTCACAATCTCCGATTTCACAACTCGACCATTTCTATTTGCAGCAAAGGCAGTGGAATCACCAAGGCAGGGTGCTTCCACAGTGACCAAACGCTAATGCTAATCTTGAAAGGAGAGTTGATAGAGGCGGCGAAGCGTCGACGGTGTCGATTTTCTGAGCATTTGTGTTAGGAATGGGGTGAAAATCTCATTTAGCCCCATCAGAAAATGGATTACTCAATCCTTTTCTTTGATTTTCTGAAATTGAAGTAAGGTTTCAGGTGGTCCCTTTAATGGATCCTCAACGGCGTCGAGTTCGTTCCACAATGATGAGAATCGGTTGAAATAACTCGTTACCGATTGCTTGTGTTGTTTTGCTTCAACAAGATTCTGTCGAATAGTGTAGAATTTGGCTAGATTGAGTTGGCCATACTTCTCTTTGATGTTGACCCACATTTGTTCGACAATCTCTCTCGGTGGGAGTCTGGCGGCAACATCCTGTGTCAAGGAGTTGCTAAACCAAGATCGGACAAGAGTGTTACTTTTGATCCATTGTTTTTTGGGTGTGGATCATCGGGTGGCGGCACTGTTTCATCAAGGAAACCATCTTTATCCTTTATGATTAGAGCCTGGCGAAAATCTCGTGATCGACCAAACAACATAGTTTTCTGATCTAGTGAGGGGTTGCTTGACCAGAACGAGATTTGGTCCGTCTAACGGCGGCGTGTATAAAATGTCGTCGAGTTCCAGCTGCCATTGAGGGGTGGAGATGAGTTGGAAGGGAAACTAGAAAGGTTGACCCAATCCAGTTTGAGGATTGGTAAACCTGCCGTTGATCCATGATTTGGGTTGGGTTGAATATTTGGGTTTGGTTGAGTGGGTTATAGGCCAGGTGGTTGTGAATTCGGTTGAGGATTGGGTTGTGGGCCTGTTTGAGTGGGCTATGGATTTGGTTGAGGGTTGGGATGTGGGCCTGTTTGGGTGGGTTGAGTGTTTGGTTGAGTGGGAATCATTTTGTTGTTTTAAGAAAATCTGGAATTTCACTAATTCAAGTGCCTTCTTTTTGCAGGTGAAAAACCTGGAGGCTTGAGAGGATGTAGGCAAGGAGAAAAAGGGCAGAAGCTTGATTAAGCAACCTACTTTGATACCACGTCAGAAAGTGGCAAGAGAGGCAACTAAGCTGCCAAAGAATGCCGAGAGAGAAAGAAGATTTTGAGAAGAAAAGTGTATTCGATATATTTTGTTTGTACAGATTTGCATCTATTTATATAGAAAAAGTAAAGTACGTAAGGAAAGTAATCAATTACTTGATTCCAACAGTAATGTAATAATTCTGTCAATTAGGGAGTAGAATTAGTCTTGTAATAGCTCTCAATCACTGTAATTGAGCTCAACCATACTCTATGATAAATGCTAATAATCTTCACATGTCAACAATAACTATTCATCTCGAGTTTTTCTTTCTTTGTTATCTTCCGTTTTGGGTAATCAGATGAAATTTTGCTTGTAAAAAAGTTCGTTTCTCATAATAAAAAATACTCATTATCAGCTAAAATTGAAGGCGAACTGAGAAAAATAAATAACTCCAAAAAACAACAAACCATATTATAACAATTAAGTTAACAAAATAGGACAATGGCAGGGGCCCTCTTAAAATACCCAAGAATGGATCAAAAATAGGCCCAGCTCACAAGTAATGGGCCTCATGGAGAGTTGGGGTTGGAATTATTTATTGGGTGCGTTTCGCGGAGGTCCCTAAGTTGAATGTACATAGCATCAATGAAAGATGTTGTCTCTTGCAGTGGCTCCTCTATAGCTTCTTTCAGCTTCCCAAGCATATTGCAGTATGCTTCCTGTTCATTCAGAAAATCAAAACAATATGTATTTCGTCGTTCTGTGAGTCTATCGATCTAACGATATCATATCACATGTACATTCATTTTAAAAAAAGAAAAGAATAAGAATCATACCATGAAACGATCAAGTTCAGAAGAGGGTGGAATGGTAGGTTTGGGAGTAAAAGTAGGTTGATCGTTTGCTGTATTTGTTGTGCCAAACTCTCCAAGTTCACCTAAACCCACCTGCACAAAGGTACCATTCAATTTGCCAACCTAATCTTCAAATCTTAAAAATATGTATACAGGAATCCTCTGAAGCAAATATTCGCATTTCATTCAGAATTCAGATTCTGTTTAGTAGGCTTCAAATAGATTGAAATATTCAATGCCAGAAAATTTAATTGAAATTTTATCTTTTTAGAAGAAGAAAGGAAAATGTCATAATGAAACTGAAAAAGGAAAAACCGGTGACAATATTTTGTCACTGGGGCCTGCTGGTTCAACTGAAAAAGAAAAAAAAATGTAATAATATTTCTGGAGTAGTAGTCATTGACCAAAGTAGAAACATTAACTGCTCTTTTTGTTCAAAGTTAAATTATCACGCTTCATCAGCTATTCAACTCTTTCTCTCTCAAATGCGGAAAATGGAGCATGAAGATGAGATAAAAACAAAAAGAAATACAAAAAAAATTAGCTATGAACTATCCCTTATAAACACACTTCCCCTGCATCAATTATCACATTGTCCTTATAATAATCTAATAAAATTATTTATATATAACATCTCTCCCTTCTAACATGTCGTGACAATTTAAGTTTTGTTCAATATTATGCTGTTATTTTCTTCGATACAAAGCAACCGCTAAAGCAAAATAACTCGTGAAATTAAAACTTTTTATTTATTTATTTATTTTTGGTTAATTGAATGTGGACAACATTGGTCTTTTAAGATCTGTCACTTTTTCTCTATGGTCCATGCAAAGGGACTGTTTATTCTCTCCTGCTCCTATATCAGAAGTTTTGTTTTCTAATTAATCAGTGACCACACACTGGATTTCGACAAATTTTATGCTCATGATTTTATATATATATATATATATATATATATATATAGACATAAACACAAATTTAAGAAAAAAGATTGAATGTAAAAAAAGAAAAGAAAAGAAAAGATCAGTTAATAATGAAACGCGTACCTTCAAACAGTTCAAGTGGGTCTGAATCAAGAGGCCAAACAAAACGTGACTCGAAATACTCTTCTTCAAAATAACTTCTTCTTCTTCTTCTTCTTCTGCAACAAAACTCACGTCATGAGCATTATTCTCACTACTTTCACCATTAATCTCTACAGTAGTTTTACTACTTTTCCCTTCCATTTCTCTCTTCTCTCACTTTCTCCACTCAATCAAACAACCACACACACATACCATTTATAGCCACCTTTCTTTGACCTTTTTTTGTGTGTAAATATAGTACAGCTTATCATACTTTTTTTTCACTGTCTTTGGAAGCAAACCAGTAATTATATATTGTGCATGCATGCATGGATTTAAAGGAGATGTGAGTCAGAGATTACCAGAGACGAAGAATTGCTTTTTCTGCCGCTTCTTTTCTGCCTGAAAACAACTTGCCATGGGGATTTTTTCCCTCGATTATTGGAGCATGCATTAAATATTTGTAGTTGCAATTATATATCGTATCTTATAAAAAAAAAAAAGAAAATTAACCAAAAAAAGAAAATTAATAACAAACTTCGATTCACTGTTCATAAATGTACCTTTCTATGTTGTTCTATCATTGTTTCTGAAATTTATTAAATATATAATAAATATCATTTGCCTTTTCATTCATATTAATAGCTGCAATTATTTTTAAAATTTTTTAAATATATAATAAATTCAAAATAAAGGTAGTTAATACCATAATGAGTAATACTACATGGACAAACACTTCTCATAGATCCTGCTTGTCCAACAATGAGTCTCTCTAACCGAACCAATTACGAGTTACCACATAGGTTAATGAAAAGTGTTAGTGAGAAATGTTTGTAAAGTTAGTATTATTGTATCATAATAGTTTCCAAATATCGTGTGTACACGTTAATGAATATTGTGTATGTGTTTTTCTCTTTTTTTGAAAATACTAAAAATTATTGAAAAAAGAAAAATTTAAAACATGATGTGTTTGTCAAAAAATTATATTTGAAAATAAAAAAAATGAAATGCATAAATTAATAAATTAATAAAATATATATAAAAAATTTCACTTACACATGTAAGAATTATTCACCAAATGTGAATATAAATCGATGCATTAAAATCATAAAGATTGAATTACATAATCAATATAATATCAATGTATTCAAATCTTAATAACCCACATATTAGTTTATAAAATACTGAATTTATAATAAAGGGTTATAGATAAACTTGTTTGTGCCATGAGCGTAAGTTTTCCTTTTCAATAATGTAAACTAAATGATAACTTTCAAAATGAGTTTCAGTTATCTTATAGCATTTGGAAAAAGGGACTTAGCCAATTTAATAATAGTTTATTTGACCCTTCCATTAAAGGCCCAATAAACCCTAAGGCCCCTACTTTGTTGTCAATCCAGATTAATCAAATGAAGTGTAATAGGCTAAACTTTAAGATGATCACATTAAACCCATTAGTATATAAGTGGATTATCAATTTACCCACTTTTAATCAAAACTAGCATATAATTAATGTTAGCCCACAATTAAGAAATTTTTCTAACAGCACACCCAATAGAAAACCATTTCAAGTTACTATTTATTTTGTTCGTTTCGAAGAGCTTGTCTTAAATATGTTAATAGTTGGTTTCTGTTAGCAATTCAGTGTTAAAAGACTTTGATTTGAAATAAAAGTTTTTGTTTAAAGGAAGAAGATAATATATATATATATAATTTTTTATTCAAATATCAATTATATATATAAAATAACACCCACAATCTCTCTCATTTTCTTTATTTTCGTTGTTTTTGCTACTAGAATTAGAAGGAGAACATTAACAAACATATATTTTACTCATTTTTACACAAAAGAAAAAAAAAATGGTAGGATAAAAACGTAAACGAATGTAGCCTAATTCAAGTCTCGATACAATTACGATTACAATTTTATTTCATAAAGTGAGAACCTGTGTACATAGTATTACATTTTAAAACCATTGGAATAATCTTACTTACCTTAAACCTCAAAGTTATTATATTTTAAATCCTTAATTTCTTTTAAGCGCCAATGTGCTTTCATATTTATTTCAAAAACAAATAAGCTAACTTTATGTATAATGTCTAACAATTATTCTCATGCCTAAAATTGTAAGAGTATTAAGTATATATTTTAAACGTCAAATAGAATGGGCCAAAGAGCCCATTAATGGTATGTTTATTTCTCGGGTTTGGATAACATTAACCAGAAGGACAATACAATTTATCAGTTAATTAACGTTGGGCTAAGTTTTACATTGAATTGGACAACATTAAAAGATGTATAAGACATCAGTAAATCAAACAAACGCAGACCACAGCCACCATACAGCCACCAAAAAGAACAAAAAGACTCGGATCAAAACATGTCATCCCAAACACCAATGCCATGAAACTTGGTCAAAAGCAATATTAAAAGTATAAGAAACTTACATTATCAACTGCCCATTGGCAGCTTTACAAACGAATTCAATGGCAAGACTGAGACTGAATTGTAGAAATTAAAAAATGCAATTGACTGAAATGTCTTTCTACGAGGCCACCGAACTTTGAGTGCAATTATTTGCTAATCTAGTTTTATGCCTAAACAAAGGGATCTATACAAATAAAAAATATGCAGCTGACAAAAGTGTGTTTCTGCGAAGCCAAAAGATTTAGGCTCACTCAGCAGCTTACATGTTGTTGATGTCTAGATCTTTGGTGGTTGTAACTGATCGTCAACGACAGTCATATCTTTAATCTTCATTAAAGATCAAACATAGTTAAATCTGGCCGCTAATGGTTAGATCTGATCGTAGATTTGATCTTTTCTAGATAACTTGAAAATGTCATATCGACGCATGACCGATCAAATACAACCGATTGTGTGTCATTATGGTGACTGACGACATTTAATGGGTGAGTGAGAGTGTTTTCGTTAATTTTCAATGTTTTATTATAAAGATGTTTGGCTAAATTCAATGTTTTAAAACCCAGTTCGTCCAACCGATTTAACCGGTTCAACTAGGAATTGGCCTTCAAACCGGGGAGAGTCACTATAAAAATCGGGGATATGCATTTGCCCGAAATGACCAGCAACCCCGGTCCAACCGGTTTTGTGTCAAAACCGGGTTAATGCATTTCCTCCCTGATAAATAGTAAAACCCTTTCCAATTTTTCAATTTTGCAGTCAATATCTACAATCAAAACTTCAGCCACCTTGTGTGCCAAAATCGTCCACCGTCGGTCGCACTATAGTCGCCGTCTGTCGAGGTTTGTGGTTCATTTCATCTTGATTCACTTCATCTCAGTTCTTACCATGTGTTCATTGTGTTGTCGATTTCAAAATCTTGTATTTTATTGCCGTTGAAGTTGTGTTAATTATGAGAAGTGAGAACTTGAATACACCATATTCTGAAAACTTGAATATAGTTGCTGTGGGTATTAGGAGGATTGATGGGGGTTCGCCATTGGATTTTGATTATGCCTATGATTGAGATTTTCGATGATGATGATGAATTGGAATCGTGGATTGGTGATGTTTGTTTGATGATTGAAATGTGGATAGAGGAGAGGAGAGGAGAGGAGAGTTTGCAATTGGGTGTGAGACTACCAGAGATGTGTTTGCAATGAAGAAATGGATGGTTGTGATTTATTTGGGAGAAAGAGGATGGGATAGGTACAGGGATAGAGATAAGATTATGAGATTCTCTTCTTCACGTTCTTCTATATTTATATTAATATATTAATATTATTTATTATTAATTAGATAATTTGAATATTATTGTATTTTATTTCTATTTATTTTAATTAAAATTCTATTTTAGTCAATTTATTCAGATTACTTTAATATCATTTTTATCATTCAAGTTCCAGAAGTTTGACCTCTCCCTATATATATATATATATATTTTATCAATTTATTTGTCTATAATCTATCTATTGCCTTGTATATTAACAACTAGACATGGGGCGTGCGTTGCGCGGATATGTTTATTTAATGTTTTTGAAATAGATTGTTAACAAATTTATTATAACAGAATAAAATAATTAGATTAAGAAATAATAATTGTTAAATTATACAAGTTTTAGAATAAATATAAATTATATATATATACAGAGTTGTGTTAAGAAAAAATTAATAATCGTACTTTTATAATTATTAATAGCAATTAACATTATCAAATCAATTATTTAAACTTAAAATTTATTTTGAGCTTTTGCAATTTTTGTAAGTTATATTCATTTTCAAGTTTGACATTGACTGGTTAATTTTTTCTCACAGTATATGGTTCATATATTTCTTTAAAATCAGTAATCCCAGCCAAGGTTTGAAAACAAACGTCTGTTCACATAGTTCATTCAAAAGCTTTGTTTGTTTTACAGTTAAGAACATGATAACTCAATTAATTTCTGGGTCAATAATTGTAGAACTACAAAACTGAATATGAAGAGACTAACTTTCATCTTTATACGTTTTTATTTAAAATGGTTAGATTTTTGGAATGCCTATGTAATGTAGTTATATAATTATTATTAATACTCATCCAATGTGTGAAGATGGAAGAATTAAATCAAAATTAATATGTCAAGATGAAGAATTTTTAGTAGATTCATTAAACAATAAATGCAATACGTCAATTAAAGGAATAATTTTCAATCAATTAATGAGTAACATCAAAATCAAGATAAAGTTGAACATAAAGACTAATACTTTTATTATAAAAGAAATAAGTACATTGAGTTTTTATACTATGAAATAGGTTTGGATGATATATATGGTGTTTATTTTCTATTTCTCTTATAGTTGTCTAGCTCCTATAGTGCATATGTATACTCTCTTTTGTTTATGTTATAGATAATATCCATAGCAGATTGCATGATTTATAACATATGTTCAATGACTTCTCTGAATTCGTCTCTAGCAGTATGTAGATCATCTAGATTGGTGTCAACTTTTTTTGAAAATTTCCCTAAATTGTGGCATTCCCTGAAAAATGTCAAACTAATTGTAGAAACAATATACAATCAAATTTTATAAATATATGGAAACGGTAACATGAATCTGTAAATATAATTATGAGATGAATTCACTACATATAAAAAATTTTATACCCTCTGGTTGCCTTGGTGGAAAATTATTATTGTCAAGGTCATTTCTGATATTCGTTGCAGATTCTTTTGGTTGTGATGCTTTGTTAGCCATTTTCGAATTAAGTTATGGAGAGTAAATGAACAATTAAAGCATGTAGTATCTGAAGAAAGTTAAATGGGTGATTGATGTCAGAGTAATATTTATAGGAGAATAGGACACGAAAAGGTGGAATCTGAACAGACAACTGGTAATAAATAAACATGTCGATCGAAAAAGTGTTAATAATTGTTTGGATAAGGTTATACAAAATGTTAGTAGATTATCTGTACAATATTAAAGAAA